ACTACTGCTCATGATCAAAAACCACGTGACCGTTCATTTTTCCCGCGTAGTCCTGCGGCTACGGTGAGTTGTTGAGCTGTTTCGCGTAGTCGGGACTACGGAGAACATTTTGCTCGTATTTTGCCGTCTCGGTAATTCAAGAATCTCGTCTTTTCGTAGAAAAGTTTTCAATTCACCTGCTTTAAGTAAGAGGGAAGCGAAATATGTAAGTTGTGTCTAATTTCTGCTCAGATTTACGCTTTTAATCCACTGTTGTGACTACATTTTTATCTAGCGAAGCTCATATTTAAATAAGCTTAGCTGTTTATACGCAGAATTCAGGTTGACGGCCGAGGAGAAGAGAAATCATGGCGGTAATTTACTTTCTCTTTGCACTTGAAAAGTTTCAATGTTTGTTCGAACAGATTAGTGTGTCTTTCTACTTTAACCTTTGTTTATGCGAGTTTTTGTATCGCATTTGCTGAATGAAAATGATGTAAACATCTTCGAGACAATCGAAAATCTAATAAATGAGCTATTACTATTTCTGTCTATTTCTTTAATATTTCACAGAAGTATTCATGGGCGAAAAAAATAAAACCTGGGTAACCAAAACTTTGTTTACCAATTTCACCCGACGTAATTGCTTCCTTCAAGTATGGAAGAATTTGTTCATTGTTCTAAAGATAAGATCACATGCAAAACTGACTTGCATTTTTGTGAACTGTGATGAAAACAAGAAAATCTTTGCGTATTGTTTCCCCCTCCGCCTCTTCTCTCGTAGTCTACTGTCTGTAGTGCAATCTTAACGTTCTATATTGGCACGACTCAACCCAGTGCTACAAACAAAGGACAACGCTCGTCCAGCCGTAGTTCGTAGTCCGTAGTCTCCGTATCTTAAACTCCCTAATGCTAGACTTGCTACAAGTCGACCTCTGATAAGTTCTTAAAAGTGAGCGAAGCGAGCATCAATGCATAAGGTCGCGCAGCAGGAATTTGGCCATATATCCAGTCATATTGACCACCTTACACTTGGTCAGTAATGCATATTTGAATGGAATAATAATGAAAATAAAAGAAGTCGTCATGCCTTCAAATATTCCCCTTTCGTTCTGACAGCCTGTTTCCTTTCGTCATTCCAGCGGAAGCTCAGTGATAAGAACTTGGTTTCTTCGAAATTTGCTGCCTGAGTCAGGAGTTCCGAACGGTAAGAAAATGCAATAAGCAGTTGTGTTTCTAGACGCGGTCAAAAAGCCTTTACTTTGTATAAAAATGGCATGTTCAGTTACATGGTTGAATTGAATGATACGGAGAGCTTCCTTGTCGCTTATTCAAATTATGAGACTGTTCAAATATTAAAGAACGTCGAACGGAGACTTTCGCAGCAAATGGTAATGAATGATACCCTTTTTTTGACCATTTTTTGACTGTTTCGGTCTATTATTCGAGTTGCCTTTTGAACCGGTCTGGAAGCAAAATGTAGTGAAAACAAGCTTCGACCTGCGGCAATAACGTAGAGCCAGTACAAAAGAACTATTGCGCACTTAGAAGTAACTTTTTGACGTTAACTCTCTTTAGATCTTTGTTAAACTTTTCAAAAAGAACTCAAAAGCCATAAGCTTTATGTTCTGATTGTTCGTTTATCATCGAAACTTTATAATCTTCATCGAGAGTCTCTACAGATGAAGCATAACTAAGCATGACAGCGCGTTTTGCACAGTTATATGTCCTACAAGTATTCGGTCTTAGTTAAGTTAAAATATGTCTAGAGTAAAGTAAATCCTATTGAATTGGAAAGGGAAACTGGATATAAAGTTGCCTGCATAATAGGCGTCATTTTTTCACGTTTTTTAGGCGAGCGAAGATATGCTTAGTAGATTTCTTTTAGTCTTAAAGCTGTCAGTACTCGATAAAAATAGATACACTCCCTCGTTCTTAGGCGTCTCAAGTGTGTTTGGAGAACTGAGAACGCGACTGAAGGCGATAGTATCGCGCGGTGGACCATGAATGAATGAACGAATGAATGAATGAATGAATGAAAGAATGAAGGGGCGTGTATGAGAGAACAATAGACGTGCCCTCTTACAATATATTTTAACATGTGAACAGTAAGTTCGGACGTAAGCATACAAAGGCGCCACTGGCAGCCGCTCTCAGTCCATTTATGAGCTTACTGTACCCACCCAACCCATGATGTGATGTGTGAAGGCTGACCACAGTACCGGGTTCTACGTCCCCTACGTCCCCCTAATTTTCGTCTCAGAGATTCTTATAACATCAAAGTGAAAATCAATTTCTTCTAAGATATGTGTTTGTAAATTTTCCAGGTTCTGATTCAAGCTAGTTATGTTATTATCGAATACAGAAAAGCGATTATTTGGCCATTTGGATTTGGCCTGGTGAAAAGCATGAGGAGAAAAATATCAACTTTTTATTTGATTGTTGTGTAAGTTTTGATAAGGGCAAATGTTTGAATCTAACACACCTCACCTCATGCTTAGTAGATTTCTGTTAGTCTTCAAGATGTCAGTACTCTATATAATTAGATAAACTGCCTCGTTCCTAAGCATCTCATCTCAAGTGTGTTTGGAGAACAGAAAATGCGACTGCAAGCGATAGTATCGCGCAATGGACCATGGGAATGTTTAGCGTTCACGCAAAGGATGCTGGGAAGGGTAAGCGAGAAAATGATATAAATCAGTGTCTTGGTAGCCTGCCTACTCGTAAAACACTAAATAACGGCAAGAAAAACCGTTGTGAATCAAAACCACGATAATTTGGCCATAAAATAAATCATTTATTAGGGGTGGCGAATGGTACCTCGAAAAACGTGGGTCTCGGAAAATTTTGGCAGGATCTCGAAATCTCGGAAGGGTTCTTGATAAGTCTCGAAGTCTCGTTTTTGAACGGTTTGTTTTTACTTTTTTTGAGTCTCGAAACTTTATACCAAAGAGTCTCGGGCACGGCTTCTAACTAGGATCTCGGCGTCTCGGCGAGTCTCGGATTTTACCATTTGCCACCCCTTTTATTGACCAAGATTCTTCGGTCAAGATAGCTGGATATTGGCTGCGTCGTTCTTTTCTCATTGGCCTCGATAACGTCTCGGTAAACAAAATGCTAGACTTGCTACCTCTCATACGTTTTTAAAAGTGAGCGAAGACGAGCTTCAATGCATGAGGTCGCGCAGCGAGCGACGAAGTCTCGTGGCATAACCAAACAGGAAAAAATAAAGGACTTCTAGAAAGTTTAACAAAATGCAAAAAAGGAATTTGGCCATATATCCAGTCATATTAACCTCACGCTTGGTCAGTAATGCATATTTGAAAGGTATAATGATGAAAATAAAAATAGTCGTCACGCCTTAAAACATTCCGCTTTCGTTTTGACAGCCTGCTTTCCTTCGTCACTCCAGCGGAAGCTCAATGATTCCTTATAAAGACTTGGTATCTTCGATATTTGCTGGCTCAGTCAGGAGTTCCAAACGGTAAGAAAAATAATGCAATAAGCAGCCGTGTTTCTACATGCGGTCAAAAAAACCTTTCATTTGTATAAGTTACATGGTGGAATTGAATGATGCGGGAAGGGGAGTTCATGACGGTTATTCAAACTATGAAACTGTTCAAAAGAACGTCAAACGGAGACTTTCGCAGCGAATGATAAGGAATGATTGCCTTTTTGTGACCATTTTTGACTGTTTCGGTCCATTGTTCGAGCGAAGTAAGCTCTGGTTTTGGAACGCTCTGGAAGCAAAATGAAGTGAAAACAAGCTTTGACCTGCAGGAATAACGTAGAGCCAGTACAAAACAACTATTGCGCCCTTAGAAGTACCTTTTTGACGTTAACTGTCTTTAGATCTTTGTAAAACTTTTCAAAATGAAACCAAAAACCATAAGCTTTATGTCCTGACCGTTCGTTTACCACCGAAACTTTTTAATCTTCATCGAGAGTCTCTACAGCTGAAGAATGACGGACTGTTTTGCATAGTTATGTCCTACAAGTATTCGGCCTTAGTTTAGTTAAAATATTTCTAGTGTAAAGTAAATCCTACTGAATTGGAAATGGAAACTGAATATAAAGTAGCCTGCAGAACACGTTTTTTTAGGCGAGTGAAGATATGCGCGAGGCGAGCGCGCAGCACGAGAAAGCGCTTTCACAAACCGCGCGTGTCTCGCTCTCCACCCACGCTTTGTGCCAAAAAAATAGCGGCTATTCTGCAGGCTGCAAATAAAGGAGTGGTGGTAAAATAGGGAGAAAAAATAAGAGATGATCTGATGAAAAGGGCGTAAAATTAGTCCTACTAGTTACCGAGACTTTCGAGAAAAGGGCCTCCCTCTAAAATGCCTGCCCAGTGTCAGAGCTGGCTCTAAACGTTATTTAGTTGTATCTGACCCTGAATAAGTTTGGATCAATTTAGGTTTCTGGGAAACTGCCCAACTACCCCTCCCCTAAGCTAACATTAAAATTTAGTTCTCACTTAGGGCAAAATGATGGCTTAGGGGAGGGGTAGGTGGGCAGTTTCCCAGAAACCTAAAATGATCCATAAGTTTTTCGGCAAAAATAAGTTTATAAACTTTTATTGTTCCATTGAAAACGGTACCCGTTTTGAGACTCTAATGAGCTGATCCGTTTTCATGAGACCAAAACGGCTAAGAAAACCATACCGTTTGTAGTACATACCTATATATAGCTTACAAAGGGTATTACCGCCGGGTATGTTGTCACTAATTGCAGAGAAAATCTTTCCCCAAAGATTGAAGCATCAGACGTACATCAAGTACGGCATCTTCAAAAGAATATACCGAGCAACAGCTAAATTATTACAGAATTTGTTACCCAACTACTGATATACTAGCAAATTTGGGTCTTGGTCATACCCTGACATGCTTGTGTTGAGAAGTCAATGTTTTTACTTCATACACCGCGTTATCTACGTCACTGATAATTTTTCCCCCTCTGAACTAATTTGCTAACCGCAGGATTCATTTTCCTAAAAGGTTCCAAGCATCAGAGGTGCATCAAATATGACCTCTTTAAACGAATATACCGATGAACAGCTGAACTATTACAGAATTTGTTGTGTAACCACCGATATACTAGCTGAGGGTCTGAGAGTAATATTTAAACAAGAATGGGACAAACTGTACAAAACAACAACTGGAGAATGGAAAGACGAGCCTCGTAATGGAATGGATTTTTATAACAGAGAGTCTCCTCGAAATCAAAAAAGAAACGCTCATCTTTTGGCCACTATGAAAAACGGAAACAGTGGGAAATGGGATTGTACAATGCTATTTTACGCCATCCTTTTCTCTGATTGCGTCGGGCCAAGTCTTAGCGCAATAGTCAGAAAAAAGGTAGATGATCTACGAAATTTCAGGAATGAAGAATTCGCTCACATGCCACAAGGTAGTCTCTCTGAGACAGATTTTCACAATGCTATTAGCAAAGTTGATGTTGCGTTTCAAGCGCTTAGTCTTCCCACTGTAAAAATTCAAGACTTAAAATATCAGAAAGCGTTTCCAACAAAAGATTTAACAAAGGTCCTCAAAGAAGTTCAAGAAAAGGAGAGTCAGCGCCAGGTCCTTGAAGATCAGCTCCAAAATGAAGCACCCTTATTCTGTGTTCTCCCTCCTAAACCTTCGCATGAAATCGGTGGTCGTGAAAGTGAAGTAGCCCAAATAGTCCAAAAGCTGAGGGAACTAAATGAGTCCAGTGACAACAGGTTGAGTTATCTATACATCTCAGGGAATCCTGGAAGCGGAAAGTCACAGCTAGCTGGCCTTGTAGCTGAGAGATTCTTTGACGACCTCAAAGAAATGCCAGGTGGGTCATCATTTGTAATGACCTTAAATGCTGCAAGTCCAGATTCACTTCTGGAGTCGTATGCCTCATTTGCTCGCCATTTAAAGTGCCCAGACTATTCAATTGTGGAAACCCTCAGCTCAAAGGACTCGACTGTGGACGAAAGGATCACTAGTCTTAAGATGCTTGTCGCTGTAAAAATTACCTGTTACAAGTCGTGGCTACTGGTGGTTGACAATGTCACTACCATTTCATCTGTGCATGTCCATCTACCACAGTTTGAAAACGAGGCTTGGGGAAGGGGCCAGTTGCTAATTACGACCCAGGACACAACATCAATTCCCTCAGAAAGCTCTTTTGTTAATCACATCTCGGTAAGCAAAGGTATGGAGCCCAATGACGCCTGTTCATTATTGTCCAAGCTTTCTGGTATCCTAGATAGCGAGCTGGTAGGAACAGTAGCACAAAGACTAGACTATCAACCTCTTGCTTTAGCAGGCGCTGCCGTCTTTGTTAAAGAGATTCGGCGGAACAAAGTATCGACGGATTTTGGGTGGGGGGAATACCTAAAGATCTTAGAAAAAGGCAAAAGACAGAACACAGAAAATACACTTGTCGACACCAATCCAGTTTATCCAAATTCAATGACCAAAGCAATAACGTTAGCCGTCGAAACACTGATGAGATCCGACAAATTTCAAAAACACCTTTTCACTTTTCTTGCCCTCTGCGCTCCACGACCATTGAACGTTGACATAGTAGTTAGTTACATCATGAACGCACATGAAGAGTTTGATGAAGCGGACAAGGAACTAATTCGCATGAGATTAAAGAGAAGCTCACTTCTGCTGTTCCAAGATGAAGAGGGTTGCTGTTTTATTCGACTTCACCAGGTTGTGCATGATGCTCTAAAAACTGTAACAAAAGAGTGTCCAGAAAGCCAAAGCGATGAGGTCGTTAGTGGGGTCATTTCATCATTCAACGCAATTATCGACGCAACTCCACCAGAGAATATGAGACTGAACACCAGACTCATAGCTCCACATTTGAAAGCTCTAACTATGGTAACTGACAAACTGTTTTTGCGAGATAATTTCTTTCAAGTTCATGATAAGGACATTTCCAAAAAATGCGAAAACCTTGGAAATATTTGTAAAATGCATTGTGAATTTGGAGGAGCCAAAACATATTTTGAATATTCCCTCGCTTTTAAGCTTCAAGAGCACGGCCCGGAACATGTTAATGTTGCAAGAAGCTATAATAACTTAGCTTTAATTTACAAGAAATTAGGTGACTTCGAACAAGCCAAGGAGTATCAGCAACGGGCTCTAGACATCCAACTGGACAAGCTCGGCCCGGAACATGTTGATGTTGCAGGAAGCTTTAATAACTTAGCTTTAATTTACCAGAAATTAGGTGACTTCGAGCGAGCCGGGGAGTATCAGCAACGTGCTCTAGACATCCAACTGGACAAGATCGGCCCGGAACATGTTGATGTTGCAGGAAGCTTTAATAACTTAGCTTTAATTTACCATAAATTAGGTAACTTTGAACAAGCCAGGGAGTATCAGCAACGTGCTCTAGACATCCAACTGGACAAGCTTGGCCCGGAACATGTTGATGTTGCAAGAAGCTATAATAACTTAGCTTTAATTTACCAGAAATTAAGTGACTTTGAGCAAGCCAAGGAGTATCAGCAACGTGCTCTAGACATCCACCTGGAGAAGCTCGGCCCGGAACATGTTGATGTTGCAGGAAGCTATGGTAACTTAGCTTCAGTTTACAAGAAACTAGGTGACTTCGAGCAAGCCAAGGAGTATCAGCAACGTGCTCTAGACATCGAACTGGACAAACTCGGCCCGGAACATGTTGATGTTGCAGGAAGCTATGGTAACTTAGCTTTAATTTACCAGAAATTAGGTGACTTTGAGCAAGCCAAGGAGTATCAGCAACGTGCTCTAGACATGCAACTGGACAAGCTCGGCCCGGTACATGTTAAAGTTGCAAGAAGCTATAATAACCTAGCTTTAATGTACAAGGATTTAGGTGACTTCGAGCAAACCAAGGAGTATAAGCAACGTGCTCTGGCTATCAGAGCAGACAAGCACGGCCTCAACAAAACACCAAATAAGGTAAGGACTGCTAACAGACGCAAAAAAACTCTATTATGGAAATTATATTTCTTCTTGAAAGATTTTACGCAGTCTTGAAGGGTTATTGCTTTGGCCCTGTGTCTTTGAAATTTGTTAAAATCTAAAAAGACTTAACTTTTGAGGCTTTTTTTCACAGCAGCATAAGTTGTGTCTTAAACTGCAAGGATCTTCGATGTATTCTTTCTTCCGCAGTTCCAATCTATGAAATTCATATGTTCTTTATTAATAATTTTAATTTGATAAACTCCATAACGTTTTACATATATTAATCATGGAATCGATATTTGGGACGTTGGTAAGAAATCTCTTAATTCAGGTTTGACTGTAACAGTTTCTGTTTACACTCTAGTTCTGCTTTCCGTATCTTTAAGTTTCTTCTAATGAAAAAACCTGTTAGTCCTTGCAGATTACTCCTGAAACTGAAAGGCATTTATCACAATCCAAGAAACAAGATGATGATGATGAGAATAACAATAAGGGCAGTAGTAAGGAAGGTAAAGCAAGAATCATTGTTTACTAAAAACGTCTCCTCATGCTTACTTGAAATCAAGGGCGCGTTTCTTTTGAAAAAAATCTGATAAGGGTTAAACGTTGCGCAATCTCACAGTCTTTGGACTTGACGCGACAAAGGAACGTGAGGAAAAAAACCCGGAGATGGATTCTTCATCGTAGCAAAAATGTTGTTTTAGGGGGGTAGCCAGGATTTTTAAGAGGTACGCATAATTCTCCAAATGTCCCTTCCTCCCCCACTAATGTCCCTAAATTTGAGGTTTCTGTAAGCTTGAGCGTTTTTACTGTATATGAAATGAAGTAACGAAGTAATTTGTAAAATTCTTTGTCACCTCTTTGGGTTCATTGACTGAAGCATGTCAATCGCTCTTCTAAAAAAAAAGACAGATACGAGACTCATAATCTGCGATGCATTTTTCGCCCGGGGTGGGGGGGTTGTCCCTTATATAGGCTATATGGGTATGTGCGGCGCCAAAGGGTATGGTTTTTCAGCCGTTTTGGTTTGAAATAGGGTATCAATTTCGACCATTTTGGTCTGAAACAGGGTATGGTTTGTGCACTCTAGCCTTCAATTGGGTATGTTTTTTAGAAGAATTAGCTACTTCTTCATCATCTGGCGATAAGACCATTTCCCTTTTAATGTTTACGCCAACTACCGTGTACGTGCCGTAACAGCTTGTTACGCGCCGGGCCCCAGGGCTTCTGGTCTGAAATAGGGTAGGGAAAATCACAGATTTTGGTCTGAAATAGGGTAAGGGTTTCAGGAAGCGTGCCGAACATCCCCACCCAATTTTTCTGGAAGTACCCCCTGACGTTTTTGTCGTTTTTGGGTCATAAATTGGGGGTCATTGTGCCAGGCGTTCCTTGCGGACACTGTGGAAACTGGGACTAAGAATCGAAGCCACGCATGTTTGGCGAAGAAAGCTTAGGAAAGATTAAATTTAGAGCTTTTCCGAAACGTGTCGGTCCACATTTCACAATTCTATCGCTTGAAAGCGTTAATTACTTTGGAGCAAGTGAACACTACTGAGTGGTCGGAAAAAAAAATAAGAATCTTAATTAGGAAAATTGCGATGGTCGGATGTTGCATGTAAACTTTCACTGTATGCAAATGAGTCTTGTGATGAGCATGCGATTTATTTACGGCAATGATTGAAATGACGTGCCATATGAATCACTCTTTCGATATCTGGAAATGATGTAATTTCTCTGGAATCGAGGTCCTTGAATTTTCGTGTATTTATACACGCGTATAGCCTGCTACTGCTAGGTATTATTGGTCGTCACTAACACGCCTACTAAATCAATTCAGAAACAAATAAAAACTACCGACGTCGATAAAGTAGGAAGTAAAAAACCTTTAGCGAGGAAATCATGTTTCTTGCATAATTAATCGCCTCCTCATTTCTCGATCTAATCTCCAAGCAGGCGAGACCTGCATGACGCTGTAAGCGCATTCTTGTTCTAAATGTTATGAGCCAAAATGTTCATTGAGCGTGCCCTGGTGACGTCACAACCAGATCTGGGATCAGTTTGTTCATATTTTGATACATATAAGTTCAACTTATTTTCTTTCTTTTTCTTGTATGTTTCTTTATTCTTCTCTTTCTATTATCTTTTTAGTTTAGCCTGCGTACGTCTTAGAGATTAGAGTGGAAGTGCTGTATTGTCGTTTGGAGGCTTCCTCCGCCGCCAAAAAAGTACCCCGGACAAATGAATCCCACCAGCTACGCAGGTTATTTTCAGTTTAGGGTTAAAATGTGGATAAGGCAAATTCCCACGTCACTTGCCCCTTCTCTTCCTAGATCACTGGTTTCGCCCTCAGACGGTGCTAAGCGCGTTATAAGATACTAGGGCAATAAAAGCTGGCTAGTATTGGCTTCTATATGATACCTTTTTTTTCTTTTCGTTAAGCTGCCAAGAAGAGAGAGGAGAAGTCAGGAAGTGGCTGTCGACTTTGTAGATGTCAATAATAAATATTCAGCTTTCATTTTTGTAATTAGGTAAATTAGTATTTTGGTAGCCTTTTACTGTACGATAAATTTTACTGTGGAAAATTGGTCGGGTTAACCGTGATATAGACTGTAGTTTGTAAAGTACCAAGAATTTATTTGCACTGTGAGAAGGAAATTATGTGATCCCGAGAAGATGAGAGGCCCAGGTTGAACCAAATCTAAAGTAGACTAGCACACGAAGGGTTCATTTCCAGTGTCGCGTAATTTTTTTACGTGCGTTCGTGCGTAAGATTTAAGTTCGTAAACAAAATAGAGGCCATGCATGAAAGGTCGCTCGTAAGTGTCAAAGTTGAACCTCGCTCAACTTCTCGTTTAAGTTCAGCACTTTTTATCTTGCCTCTACTTTATTTACGTGATTAAACTTTACCTGCGTTAACGTACGTAGCCAAAAACGCGTCAGTGGAAATCAACCTTAAGGGTTTAAAGTTCGTCGAAGAGTAAAACATATCATTCAAGAAAATTGTTTAAAAGAAGTCAAGAATTGTGACTACATTTCGTATAATGATTTAGCACGTTTAGATCAACGAGCCGGCAAAAGATAGCCGGAGTGAAACGTTCCTAGCGGCGAAGAGCGAAAAGAGACGGCTGTAATCGTATAGGCTAGCAAAATGTTCAAGTATGAAATAACTGGAGTATGGAGTTTTGCTTGTGGAAACTTGATTTTTTACCACTGAGTTTCATTTGTGCCGTCTGCAAGAATACTTATAGAGATCTTTAGATTTTAAGACGGGAACGACTACGATGACGAGATTTGCTTCACACCAACTCAAGTAGTGCACGCGTAAACTAAGGTGGGTTTGGCGGGAAAATGCGATAGCCGTCGTCATTTACGGGTTTCGTAGTGACGGGAACTTGTAAGTTATCAAATGTTAGAAGTGATCAGGAGAGGGCTTAACTTGTTTTCTATAAAAATAACCGTACGCGTGCCATCTCTTATGGTAAAAACATTGAAGCTTCTGCGTTGTCTAGTTTATGTTTTACAATAAGCAAAAAAACAAAAAGACAAAAACAAAACAAACAAAAAAACTAAAACAACAATTATCAAAAACAAAGAAAACTTTAAGTCAAATGTCGTCCTCGTAATGGTCCTCGAATCAAAAGGACTCTACTATTGCATTTTGATGTCATGGAGTACGATTGTGAGTGAACAATACTGATTTTCCAGGACAATGAAACCATCGCCATGTTGGTGTCCCTAACCAATCCTGTGTGAGTTAAACTCTTTTCTTATGTAAATCCTTTCTTTCGTTCCAATAAAGTTGCATAGATGCTGGCTACGTGAATGTGAACACTCTATACCAGGAGTCGATTACTAGCGAGATTTACGCCATAGGAATCGGGATAGGCTGAAACTGCATACTCAATATTTGCGCGTTTTCCATCCAATCGTTACCCTGGGCACCAGAGGTTTTTTCTTAGCCTGATTATCAGGCCTTCCTAATGGGCTATCTTTCCCCTTTTCCCCAGAAACGCCTGATACTCAGGCTAGTTTTTTCTCGCGTGCGACGAGGAGCTTCGTCTGCGGAAGACTTAACCGTAACCAGAAACCGCGCATGAAAAGCCTCTGGCACCCAGGGTATATCTAATCGTTAGTTTTTCAACGAATTGGTCGCAAATGAAGAATTCTGTGGTAACGCTACAAGCGAGCTGAAGCAAACACGACAGTGAAGAATTCGAAGAGAGCGAGAAAATAAAATAGCAACAAATATTAGAAGCAAAACAAAACCTCTGAAAGTGCAGTACACTTTTTGGCATTTTCCTTTGCCACCATCGCACGATTAACGTAAAGTCAAACTTGACTAAGACAAAACTGATTAGTGAGCTTTTTGGGGGGCTAATTATGTACCGGTAGTGACAAAAAAGAGGTAGAAATCGCCGATAAAATGAATAAGCATATCAGTCTGCTCAATGGATAAAAAAATAGCCAAGAACATTCCAGTCAAAAATACCCCTCAAGAACAATACATAGAAAAAAGGGCATCTACACATTTCACGCTTTATTTCTGTGACTGAAAAACACATATACCGTGTGGCTGCAAGATTTAATAACTCCAAAAGTTGTGGACTAGGAAAATCTCAAGTGTGCTTCTTAAACCGGCCAACCCATACATTTTAGATGTGAAAAGCGATAGAGTTAACCAAAGGCTATATTTCCTGACGACTGGAAAAATGCCCATTTTTCTCTAAAGCGAATTAATGTTGACAACTACAGACCGATATCTCTCGGCGAGAGAATGGAGCACACGTAAGAATTCGAATACGGCCTGCGTGGCAGGCGCGTGGAATTTATAGAGATGGAAGTACAAGGGAGACACTCTCCTGGTGTCGGCTACAAATAATAATAATAATAATGATGATAATGACAATGATAATGATAATGGTAATAAATTATAATAATGATAGGGGATTTTGGTTTTCGGATATATGATTCCTGACCCTCAACTCCCTTCCAATTTATTCGAGTGTATCCCTCTGGCCATGACCTTTGAAATTGCGTGAACAAATATGTGCTGCTTCTTGCATAAACTGACGTAATTAAGTAATCCCTAATGAAAATAAAACCAGTCGCCACACCAAGGAATGTTCAAACTTCCTGCTTTCGTTTTGATAGTTTTCCCTTCGTGATTCAAGCGAAACCTCTTTAAAGTCGTGCTGCCTGCCTGGTGCCTGACTAAGGCTGCAATCGGTAAGTTTATGCAATTGAAACAAATCTTTTTTTAGTAATTTCCATTTATATTACAGTGCTAGAATTCATTTAGTACAACGGCCAGACTAAGGCTCCTTGACTTACGTTAGGGTACAAGAAATGTAGTATTGGATGTTTTAAACCTTGCGAAGTGTTCGACTTCCCTTTTGTGACGGTGCTTAGTAGTGTGCAAACAATCAAGTAAATATCTGGCCATCAGCCACGGTTAAAGATGTGAAGGGAAACTCTATTATATTGAGCGCAAGGAAGTGGTAAACATGAAAGAACTGACTGTCGCATACACGGTACACAAAGGCTTTGAGTCTGAGCCATAAGCTACGCAATTGTGTTTTCTATGAAATCGAATGGGGAATCGGGGGTAAGTGGTCGTGATGACGCATGGCGAACGTTGTTGCATTAATTAGAAATGTTAAAGTTAATTTTTGAAGCTGCAAAAACATAAATTAGGTAGGCTTTCATATTTCGAATTGGCGTATTTATTTCGGCACGGTCAGCACCGGGTCAGAAATCAAGTCAAGTGAATGTGTTTTTATCCGGCCCCATGCAAAAGCACTCAACGATGGAAGCAGTGCTAACTTTAACAACCGGTATCAAATATATTCAAGTTTCTGCTTTAAGGTTCTCTCGTGTTTGTGATCCTATAATTCAAACGAAATTATCGCAAACGCATTGCCGCTTATATGTTTGTCTTAAAGTGAAACTACGGATGTTACTAAAACGGGGAACGGGGAGCGGGGAGCGGGGAACGGGGAACGGAAGTCTGGGAACGAGTTGTCAGCGGAAACCGCCATAAAAATCCAAAATGGCCGGTAAGGATCAAGGACCCGGTAAGATCGATGATAGAGAAGCGTCGAAACAACACTTAAGGTCGCTATTTTACTAATGAACTATATGCTCATGAGGTGCTTGAAATAATACGGAGGTAATAATGTCATGACATTTTTCACCTTTTTGCGTTTTACTAAACAACAAAATATGCTCCAACAGCAGTTGAAAGAAGCTACAGTCGGGACAAAAACTCTCAAAGCACAGCCATATTTGGAACTCAAGCGAACCTATACTGGGTCTAACTCACAAAGCAATGAACTACTTTTGCTTGACGCTTTTCGTAGGGTTTTGGCTTAAATACATGCTGAAAGATAACGTAGATCGAAGCAGCCAGGTGTATTTCCTCGACAGTAATAGTGTAGCAGTGGAGCTCCTTCTTAGCTGTAGCGTTTTTTCAAGCCCAAATTAAAACATGTTGGCGATGAGATAAAACTGTAAGTCTAATAATATTATATTTACAAACCTATGATGAGAAGTAAGTGCAATTGTATTATTTGAAAAGATAAGATATATGGATCAGGTTATTTAATACATCAATAAAAGGCAACTTTAAACATATTAACGGGCAATGTGCCAGGAACATCAATCATACCTTGGTCCTAAAGATATCAGTTGTGTCAAAGCAAATGGCTATGCTGTGGTTTTATTTAATTATAACCTAGGTTTAAATTTTGCTTCCCTTTGTTTGGGGGTACGGTAATATGAATTTTATGATTATGAGTTCAAAACAAAGAGAATAAAATTCAAAATTAGGATAAAAGTGAACCACAACTGAGCTGCAATATTAAGTGTTGCAAGTATACGTGGGGGAAGTACTTTGAAGTCTTTGGTTGGAAGGTACTTTCTAAAGGCTAGCTGTTAAAATATGCATGGTAAGTATACTTCCTCTGTTTAGCCCTCTGGATGCTTTTTTTTTTCTAGGGGCACTCCTTTAATGTTTTTGCAGAGGGGAGCTCTGCTTCTTTTTAATGAACATTATTTTTACTGTGGAGAAAAATATTTCAAGCTCAGTGTAAAACTGAAAGTGTCAGTGACTTAAACCAGTTAATATTGTCAAGCTGCTTTATTAGCTTGATTCAGTAATATTGCAGTGCACCTACCATCAAGCATCACATCATCAATGTTGTAGAGGCTGGCAGCTTATTAGAAGGTGGTTGATAAGCCTTCAAGCAAGCTGTCTGTAGTTTTGGAAATAAAGAGTCTAAGGTCTCACACAAGTGATGGGAGGCAAAAGATTGGAGTGCCGATATGTTTTTCAGTAAACACGCGCAACTGTATGTGTATAGTTTCCACATTACGCTTACCCAATGCATGTAAAATAACACAATAGATCTTGCTACCCATTTTCCCTGATTTTATTTCCCCTCCAGGGGACATAATTTCTTTTAACATATCGGGGTTTTCAAAAAAGGGGCAAGAAGCTTTTAAATGAATTTTAATTCATTTAATGAAGCACAGTATCAAAGAAATTAAAGAGAAGAATCAGACTAGAGTAACAGTAACCCAGAGGGGAGGGGGGGAGTACTCACCAAAGAGGCTCTGCCCCAGGGACCAACCCTTTACCCTTTGTATGTACCATTTTAGACAGAAAAGGTACCCCTTTTGTATACCCTCTAGTGACAAATGGTACCCCTTTCACATACCTAATTTTGAACGCTGCATCCCTTTTTAACTGCTGTAAAATACACCATCTTTACAAAAACAGGTTTTCTTGTCTCTCACATCCATAAAATGCATCTGTGACTGATCTCATTTTGGTCCCTTTCATATACTTCAACCATAAAAACCCCTTCCCTTTCATGTACCTGAAGCCTGAAAAAGGCTTCAGGCTCTGTTTAGGCCATTATAGTACCCCCTCCTCCTGCACCGAGAACAGTACTTGATACAGCGATATTGTATGGTATGAATTGCACCAAACGTTTCGTGCCCATGAAGAGGTACTTTGATTATTTTACGACATTTTTCTTCAAAAGGGAGGGGTTTGGGATCTCATTCTTAGTGGGGCGGGGGGTTAATTGAGGATCTGCAGTGAGTGAGAATGTTGCATTCAATGCCATCCAATGGTTTTGATTCAGGAAAGGGTCGTCAGGGGTATTTTGCAGAAAGACAAATGGCCACTGTACGACTTTGAAGCAGTTACTGATTAGGGTGAGGAAAATGAGTGAATTAGGTTCCATTAGGGTCATTATACTGGTCTATACTGGGCAAACTGACCTGAAACAAATTGTTTCACAAAATAATAAAATGATATTATTTTATTTCATGGATCAGTGAAACACTTCAATATCATGAATGCTTGCAGTGTAGTAGATCTAATAATATTAAAAGCAGAACCAGATTGTTAAAGTAGTCTTACTAATTACGTGATGACGTGGTCAATAACATTTTTCAAAGCAGTCATCTCTATCAAAGGAAATAGAAGAAGTTTGCACACAAGCTACTTGACTACTTCGATGTATGTTATCTATCATGGAAAAGTAGTTAATTGCTTTGTGGGCTAGACTCAGTATAGATTCGCTTGAGTTCCAAATATGGCTGTACATGTGCTTTAAGAGTTTTTGTTCCGATTGGCTTCTTTCAACTGCTGTTGGAGCACATTTTGTTTCCTACGGATAATTGTTTAGTAAAACGCAAAAAGGTGCAAAACGTCATGAAGTTATTACCTCCGTATTATTTCAAGCACCTCATGAGCATATGGTTCAAGTAAAGTAACGCCGTTATCGGTTAAGTTTGTTTCGACCGTTCTCTATCATCGATCATCGGGATCATCGGCCATATTGGATTTTTATGGAGGTTTCCGCTGACAACTCGTTCCCAGACTTCCGTTCCCCGTTCCCCGCTCCCCGCTCCCCGCTCCCCGTTCCGCGTTTTAGTAACATCCGGGAAACTAACTTGTTTTGGCAGGGACTGAACTACATTGCACTCCAACAGACCTCAGAAAAAAAAAAAACACGATTTGACAAGCAAACGAGGGCATCTACACATTTCACGTTTTATTTCTGTGACTGAAAAACACATATACCGTGCGGCTGCAAGATTTAATACTTCCTAAAGTTGTGGACTTTGAAAATCTCAAGTGTGCTTCTTAAACTGGTCAACCCATACATTTTTAGATGTAAAAAGTGATATCATTAACCAAAGGCAATATTTCCTGACGACTGGAAAAATGTCCATTTTTCTCCAAAGCGAATCTTGACAACCACACGACCGATATCTCTCGGCGAGATAATGGAGCACACGTAAGAATTCGAATACGGCCTGCGTGGCAGGCGCGTGGAATTAATAGAGATGAAAGTGCAATGGAGACACTCTCCTGGTGTCGGCTACAAATTATAATAATAATGATGATAATGACAATGATAATGATAATGGTAATAAATTATATTATTATTCATTCAAAATATTTCCCCGATTCTGACTGGCTAAAAGCACACGTTTAATTCACCATAACCAGGTACTGATGACCAAATTTGGAAGAATTTTGACTTTAACGAGGAAATGACGTCAAAAATGCAACGTTTTCGCAGGTTAAGACACCGTTAACCGAGAAGACCTGGGGACGAGGTTGAGTTGTTTTGGTTGTGAACTTGAAAAAATGGCGGACATTTCACTCGTTTCAAGAGTAAGAACTAGTCGAAAAAATAGCTAAAAACATGGCAAGAACGGCAAGAAGACAACTCGAAGGGCGACATCTGCTATTTGGAGAATATTTGCGGAGCTGGACAAACCTAAACGTACACTATCGAAGATGAACTGAACATCGATGGATCGAGGGAGGTAAGCATGTTTTAGCTATGTTTTTAAACTAGGAATTATTTTGAATGAATAATAAAACAGTTATTGAATTCGGCTTTCGTATCATATGAAGAATTATGGACATCTCGGAGGGTGTTATCCGCCTCGGCCGATCTCCATAATTCTTCATAAGATACTCAGCCTCATTCATTAACTGTTAAATAAGGATAGGGGTTTGGGTTTTTCGTACATATGATACCTGACCCTCAACTCCCTTCCAATTTATTCGAGTGTACCCCCTAGCCATGACCTATGAAACTGCGTGAAAAAATATGTGCTGCTCCTTGCATAAACTGTCGTAAGTATTCCCTAATGAAAATAAAACCAGTCGCCACACCAAGGAATGTTCAAACATCCTGCTTTCGTTTTGATAGTTTTCCCTTCGTGATTCAAGCGAAACCTCTTTAATATCGTGCTACCTGCCTGGTGCCTGACGAAGGCTGCAATCGGTAAGTATATACAGTTAAAACAAGTCTTTTTTCAGTAATTTCAATTTATATTACAGTGCTACAATTCATTTAGTACAACGGCCAGACTAAGGCTCCTTGACTTACGCTAGGGTACAAGAAACGTAGCATTGGATGTTTTATACTTTGAAAGTGTTCGACTTCCCGTTTGTGACGGTGCTTAGTAGTGTGCAAACAATCAAGTAAATGTCTGACTATCAGCCAACGTTAAAGATGTAAAGGGAAACTCTATTATGTGGAACGCAAGGATGTGGTGAACATGAAAGAACTGACTGTCGCATACACGGTACATAAAGGCTTTGAGTGTGAGCCACAAGCTACGCAGTGCATTCGTGTTTTTCTGAAAGGGGGAATTGGGGGAAGCGGTCGTCTAATATTGGGACCTTGATAACGCATAGCGAAAGTTGTTGCATTAAAAACGTTAAAGTTGATTTTTCAAGCTGTAATGATATGATAGGCTATCATATCCGGAAATTGGCGTATTAATATTTCGGCACAGTCAGCATAGTCAGAGTTCAAGTGAATGTGTTTTTATCTGGCCCCATCCAAAATCAATCAACAATGGAAGCAAACAAAATACATGATATGTTCAAGTTGCCTAAGGTTCTCTCGGGTTTGCAATCCTATAATCCAAACGAAATTAGCGCAGACGGATTGCTGTTCATATGTGTACCTTAAGGTTAAATGAAACGTGTTTTGGCAGGGACTGAGCTACATTGTACTCAGTTCCGAGAAAAAAAAAAACACGATTTGACAAGCGTCAAAAGCAAATCAAGCAAAGTCATTTCAAATTACTTTAGAGATCCCCCCCCCAAAAATGATACGATCGTTTCTTATGGGTTAAAACTATAGGTCTGATTATTAATTGTTCTTTTAAATCGATGTATATTCATACACTCTTCTGAACTCAGAACGCACTGGAATATCTATCGTTATAATAATATCCCTGATATCCATACACTCCATGCGTGTTCAATTGTATAGAATTATAATTAATAGACAGGTCTGACGTCTGAATTACATGAATAACATTGAATACGTTTACAACATACACCGATCAGAAGCCACGTACCTGAAGAATGTTAAAACATCCTGTGTAAAAAGTCTTTTAAAAATACATTGTGCATCTTGGGGGGAAGGGGGGGGGGGGGAAATCCCTATGATGGCCCATACGGGAGGCTCCGCCCGAAAGGGGTATCTTCAGTTCAGGCTTCAGGTATATGAAAGGGTAGGCATTTCACTGGTTGTTTCATTGTTTTAGTAAAATCCAACTAGTTGGTGAAAAATATCGAGACAAAACAACTTTAGCTAGGAAAACGCGATTCAGCCGCCATTGTTTTTGGTTTTCGAATCAAGCGCTTTTCTCTACAAGTGGGCTATAACATATAGCCTAGTAGTAGCTCAACCAATCAGAACGCAGCATTGATAATAGACTAATCGTTGGATTCTATTAAAAAAAGATAGGAAAACCTGTCATTTGGGTCTGTGAAACGGCCCAAAAGGGCTAACAGATAAATTTTATGTCTTTAAAAAATCGAGAAAACGTTCTATTTCTTTTTAATTTATAAAAGACAATGCATTTACAGCAGCTGAAAAGGATGCAAAGTTCTCAAGGGGTTTAAGGCCTGGGTCAATGGTGTTTTCGGAGCGTATGAATGATTGGCGGTATCTCTCGCTAGGAGATCTAGAACAAAATGAATTTTTTTCCCAAAAGTAAATTTTGAGGTCTTCTTATGCCTTAACGTTAAATTATGGTCACGTGACATGCCACGTGACCAGAAATTAAAAATGAAGGAAATTGGCGAATTGGTGGCAAATTTACTTTACTTTTGTTTAGATCCCATCGGCCGCAGCCCCTTTCTCCCCTTACGAAATTTACACAAGGTAGCACTGTTTTCTGTTTTTATATCACACTTAGATGATATTTCAAGCTGGAAATGTTCATGAAAGTGTAAGTCTCTTCAGTTTGAAAGAAAAAAACTGCTACGAAGAAGGGAAGACTTGATCCCACGCCCTAGAAAACCTAGTATACCACGCTAATCACTAGACCACTGCGGATTTCATGGATGGAGAGGAAATAATTTAAGTACATAGAGCATCAACCCGAACTCAAAAAAAGAACCTAACCAGTTTCGAAAGAGCGCTTAACCCTAATCAGTAAAAGCAGTGCTTAACCCAAATACATAACGAGGAAAATTACGTTATGTGAATTTCATGAGGTGTCCGAAGGGACTACGGTGGATGAGATCTAATGATATATCGAGCTGGTGTAGTCAAACCCCTTTAATAACGACACTGAGGGGGCGTGTGAAGACCACGTGCGTAGCACCAAAATATCGATCATGCCAGCGCTTCGCACCTTGCAAAATCGATTAGAGAAAAGTACGCCTGTTTTGCAGTCTAAGAGGTCTATTGGCAAAATACAGTGATTTGTATGAAATTTTATCCCAAGTTCGTTTCATTGGAATAGAACAATGGAATGCAGAAAGCTTTATGAACTGTTCAGAGTCGCCTGCTTACCGAGTATAAAATGAAATAAAATACACTTAGGGAGTGGGGGACGGTTAAACCCGACGCCTACCACCTCGGTACATTTTAACTGACCAAGATGGCCGCCTGTAACGGTAGGTGCTCGGCCTCAACAATCTTACGGGAGAATACGGTACTGTGAACAGTCTAAAAGGTCTATTGGTAGCAGATCCTCTTTAGTCGTGATCTGTACCGGGATAAGATCAGGAACCTGTGTAGTCAAACCCTGCTTTATGGACACCCACTTAATACGGAAACCTCGTTATTACGGACAGTTTAGCTGGTGCACGATATACCAAGTGAATAGCAAGTCTCGAGTTACGTCACAAAAAACACAATAATGATCCCTAGCCCTTACACAGTAACACTATAAACTTCACACAATAGAACGAGACAATAGTGCATATATTGACTTGGTATATCGAGCATCACCCGACAGTTTGCTTTGTCCCTGGGGAAAGAAAGCCCCTACATTTTCTCTAAATTCAACCCGCTTAATACGAACACCTTCGCTCATGGGGCGTGTGTCTCTCTCCTGTCTCACTCTCCATTTTCATCCTCACTCCGGACCTTTCCTTTGACTGTTCGCGAGCGCGTTCGCGTGCATCCACGTGTATATGTGTGCATAATTTATGAAAAGACAAAAGGTAAACTCCAGCATCGCCTGATCTGAAAGCAAAACATCCAAGCTAAAAAGGTCTATTCACGGCACAAGTTGGTGATTTCCTTCAAAGGAATTGGGGAGATATCTATCTTGAAGTCGTGCCACAGGCCTACCATTCGAAATGTTCGAGGTATCGTGATGTCACGCGCGCTACTTGATCTCATACCGGGCATGCGGGTATCTTATCTACACACCTAGCCTCATGCTCAGTAGATTTCTGTTAGTCTTAAAGATGTCAGTACTCGATATAATTAGAAAAACTGCCTCATTCCAAGGCTTCTCAAGTGTGTTTGGAGAACGGAAAAAGCGAGTGCGGGCGATAGTATCGCGCGGTGGACCATAAATGAATAAATGAAAGAATGAAGAGTCGTGGATGAGAGGACAACAGTCATGCCCTCCTACATTATATTTTAACATGTGAATGCTAAGTTCGGACGTAAGCATACAAAGGCGCCACTGGCAGCCGTTCTCAGTCCATTTATGATCTTATTGTACCCACCCAACCCATGATGTGAATGATGTGATGTGTGTAGGGTTTACGTCCCCTACTCATTTCTTTTATGTCCCACAAGAACCAGATAAATGTAAGTGCTGTGAGACGGGACCTACAGTTTTTCGTCCTTATCCGAGAAGACTAGAAAGTCTTTAACTGTTTGCAGATGTCATTACAAAGGCAGCACTTTCTTCCCAGTTATTTAAAGACCCTGAGTGTTGGTCCGGCCGGGGTTCGAACCCGCGACCTCCCGCTCAACAGACCGGCGCTCTCCCAACTGAGCCAACCAGGTGGCGTTTAATTTAAGAACTGTTTTAAATAGCAAGACCGGTTTGGGAAAGCTAAAATGATTTCCTTCGTCAGTTGCTTTAACAGTTAGTTGCTCATGGAGTTGCGCGCAAAAGAAATTAGGAAGGGCATGGGAACGTTAAGCGTTTACGCAAAGGACGCTGGGAAAGGTAAGCGAGAAAATGAGATAAATCAGTGTCTTGGTGACCTGCCTACTCGTAAGATACTAAATAACAGCGAGACAAACCGTTGTGAATCAAAACCGCGGTAACTTGTCCATAAAATAAATAAACCCTTTTTTGACCAATCTTGTTCGGTCAAGATAGCTGGATACTGGTGTCGTTCTTTTTTCATTTGCCTCGACTTCGTCTCTGTAAACAAAATGCTAGACTTGCTACAAGTCGACCACTCATAAGTTCTTAAAAGTGAGCAAAGCGAGCTTCAATGCATGAGGTCGCGCAGCAAACGACGAAGTCTCATGGCATAACCAACCAGGAAAAATTGAATAAAGGACTTCTAGAAAGTCTAGCAAAATGCAAAAAAGTAATTTGGCCATATATCCAGTCATACTGACCTCACGCTTGGTCAGTAATGCATAGTTGAAATTAACAATGATATGATGAAAGTAAAAATTGTCGTCACGCCTTAAAACATTCCGCTTTGGTTTCGACAGCCTGATTCCCTTTGTCATTCCAGCGGAAGCTCAAAGATACTTTATAAAGACTAGTATCTTCGAAATTTGCTGCCTGAGTCAGGAGTTCCAAACGGTAAGAAAATGCAATAAGCAGCCGTGTTTGTACACGCGGTCAAAAAAACCTTTCATTTGTATAAGTTACATGGTGGGATTGATTGATGCGGGAAGCTACAATAGCTTGTCCCTTATTCAAATTATGAAACTGTTCAAAAGAACGTCGAACGGAGACTTTCGCAGCATGGTAAGAAATGATAGCCTTTTTGTGACCATTTTTGACTGTTCCGGTCCATTATACAAGCTGCCCAGGTAAGCTCTGCATGGTTTTTGAAACAGGCTATAAGCAAAATGAAGTGAAATCAAGTTTCGACCTGCGGCAATAACGTAGAGCCAGTACAAAAGAACTATTGCGCAATTAGAAGTAACTTTTTGACATTAACTCTCTTTAGACCTTTGTAAAACTTTTCAAAAAGAAATCAAAAGCGTTAACCTTTATGTTCTGAACGTTCGTTTACCATCGAAGCTCTATAATCTTCATCGAGAGTCTCTACAGATGAAGCATGACGGACTGTTTTGCATAGTAGTTTAATTAAAATATTTCTAGTGTAAAGTAAATCCTATTGAATTGGAAATGGCAACTGAATAGAAAGTAGCCTGCAGAACAGGCGTCATTTTTTCACGATTTTTAGGCGAGTGAAGATATGCTTAGTAGATTTCTGTTTGCCTTAAAAATGTTAGTACTGGGTGTAATTAGATAAACTGCCTCGTGCCTAGGCGTCTCAAGTGTGTTTGGAGAACGGAAAACGCGACTGCGGGCGATAGTATCGCGCGGTGGACCATGAATGAATGAATGAGTGAAAGAATGAAAAGACGTGTATGACAGGACAACAGACGTACCCTCATACAATATATTTTAACATGTGAACAGTAAGTTCGGACGCAAGCATACAAAGGCGCCGCTGGCAGCCGCTCTCAGTCCATATATACATGAGCTTACTGTACTCTTATTGTACTGTGCCCTTTTTGTGGATGCAATGTAATAGAAGACGAAGTTCACTTTCTTTTTGCAATGTCCTACATACTCTATTATTAGGAATAAATTTTACCATAAAGTCAAGACTCCGATTCCAAATTTTACCCAGTTACCTCTAAACGGTTTGATCAATGAACTGATGAACTCTTCTAATTACTCTATCAATATACAATTCATAAATATATTTCAGCTTGTTTTGATGTTCGTGACAAATTATTATCAAAGTAACGTAATTGCCCTGAGTTGTAATTTTGATTCCTAAACATAGCTTTTGCAGTACTGTATGTGCTTCTATGGTCATGCAAATAAAGCTCGTTGTTGTTGTTGTTGTACCCACCCAACCCATGATGTCAATGATGTGATATGTGTAGGTTGACCACATCACCGGGGTCTCCGTCCCCTACTCTTTGCGAACAGCGGTTTGGGTTCTCTTACGTACCACAAGAACCAGATAAGTGTAATTGCTGTGAGACGGGACCTACACTTTTTCGTCCTTATCCGAGAAGACTAGAAAGTGTAACCGTCTGCAGATGTCATTACAAAGGGAGCACTTTCTTCTCAGTTATTTAAAGATCCTGAGTGTTGGTCCGGCCGGGGTACGAACCCGTAACCTCCCGCTCAGCAGACCGGGGCTCTCCCAGCTGAACCAACCAGTCAGCGGGACAGGGAAAAGGAACAGGTTCACGGTTCAGCCGATGCTTATTAATTACATTAGTTTTTTTTCCACTTTATTATTAATTCTATTGGTTAATAATCCCACTTAATCTTCGGGTATGTTGTCACTAATTGCAAAGATATTTTTCCCAAAAGGTTAAAGCATCATACGTGCATCAAGTATGGCATCTTCACAAGAATACAGCGATGAACAGTTAAACTATTACAGAATTTGTTCTCTAACTACTGATATACTAGCGGAGGGTCTGAGAGAAATATTTAAACAAGCATGGGACAAACTGTACAAATCAGCAAAAGGAGAATGGAAAGACGAGCCTCGTAATGGAATAGACTTCTATAACGGAGAGTCTCCTCGAAATCAAAAAAGAAACGCCCATATTTTGGCCACTATGAAAAACGGAAACAGAGGGGAATGGGATTGTACAATGCTGTTTTATGCCATCCTTTTCTCTGATTGCGTCGGGCCAGGTATTAGCGCAATAGTTCGAAAAAATGTAGATGATCTACGAAAGTTCAGGAATGAAGAATTTGCTCACATGCCAAAAGGTAGTCTCTCTGAGATAGATTTTCAGAATGCTATTAGCAAAATTGATGTTGCGTTTCAAGCGCTGAGTCTTCCCACTGTAAAAATTCAAGACCTAAAATATCAGAAAACATTTCCAACAAAAGATTTAACAAAGGTCCTCAAAGAAGTTGATAATCTCAAACAAGAAGTTCAAGAAAAAGAGAGCCAGCGCCAGGTCCTTGAAAATCAGCTCCAAAATGAAGCACCTTTGTTCTGTGTTCTCCCTCCTAAACCTTCGCATGAAATCGGTGAACGTGAAAGTGAAGTAGCCAAAATAGTCCAACAGCTGAGGGAACTAAATGAGTCCAGTGACAATAGGTTGAGTTATCTATACATCTCAGGTAATCCTGGAAGTGGTAAATCACAGCTAGCTGGCCTCGTAGCTGAAAGATTCTTTGACGACCTCAAAAAAATGCCAGGTAGGTCTTCATTTGTAATGACCTTAAATGCTGCAAGTCCAGATTCACTTCTGGAGTCGTATGCCTCATTTGCTCGCCATTTAATGTGCCCAGACTATTCAATTGTGGAAACCCTCAGCTCAAAGGACTCGACCGTGGACGAAAAGATCGCTAGTCTTAAGATGCTTGCCGCTGTAAAAATTACCTGTTACACGTCTTGGCTACTGGTGGTTGACAATGTCACTACCATATCTTCTGTACATGTCCATTTACCACAGTTTAATTCAAAGGCTTGGGAACGAGGCCAGTTGCTCATTACGACGCAGGACACAACGTCAATTCCCTCAAAAAGCTCTTTCGTCAATCACATTTCAGTAAGCAAAGGTTTGGAGCCCAATAATGCCCGATCATTATTGTCCAAGCTTTCTGGTATCCCAGATAGCGAGCTAGTAGGAACAGTAGCACAAAGACTGGACTATCAACCTCTTGCTTTAGCAGGCGCTGCCGTCTTTGTTAAAGAGATTCGGCAGGACAAAGTATCGACGCATTTTGGGTGGGAGGAATACCTGAAGATCTTAGAAAAAGGCAAAAGACAGAAAACAGAAACTACACTTGTCGACACAAATCCAATTTATCCAAATTCAATGACCAAAGCAATAACGTTAGCCGTCGAAACACTAATGAGATCCGACAAAGTTCAAAAACACCTTTTCACTTTTCTTGGCCTCTGCACTCCACGACCATTGAACGTCGACATAGTAGTTAGTTACATCATGAACGCACTCGAAGAGTCTGATGAAGCAGACAAAGAATTAATTCGTATGAGATTAAAAAGAAGCTCACTTCTGCTGTTCCAAGATGACGAGGGCGGCTGTTTTATTCGAGTGCACCAGGTTGTGCATGATGCTATAAAAACTGTAGCAAAAGAGTTTGCAGAAAGCCAAAACGATAAGGTCGTTAGTGGGGTCATTACATCATTTAACGAATTTATCGTCGCAACTCCACCAGAGAATGAGCGACTGAACACCAGACACATCGCTCCACATTTAAAAGCTTTAACTACAGTAACTGACAAGGTGTTTTTGCAAGATAATTTCGTTCAAGTTCATGATAAGGAGATTTCCGAAAAATGCAAAAATCTTGGAAATATTTGTCAAACGCACTGTGAATTCGAAGAAGCAAAAACGTATTTTCAATATTCACTCACTTTTAAGCTTCAAGAGCTCGGCCCGGAACATGTTAATGTTGCCACAAATTATAATGACTTAGCTTTAATTTACAAGGATTTAGGTGACTTTGAGCAAGCCAAGGAGTATCAGCAACGTGCTCTTGACATTGAACTGGACAAGCTTGGGCCGGAACATATTAATGTCGCAAGAAGCTATAATAACTTAGCTTTGATTTACAAGGATTTAGGTGACTTCGAGCAGGCCAAGGAGTATCAGCAACGTGCTCTGGACATTGAACTGGACAGGCTCGGCCCGCAACATGTTAGTGTTGCAACAAACTACAGTAACTTAGCTTTGATTTACAAGGATTTAGGTGACTTTGAGCAAGCCAAGGAGTATCAGCAACGTGCTCTGGACATTGAACAGGACAAGCTCGGGCCGGAACATATTAATGTTGCAAGAAGGTTTAATAACTTAGCTTTGATTTACAAGGATTTAGGTGACTTTGAGCAAGCCAAGGAGTATCAGCAACGTGCTCTGGACATTGACCTGGACAAGCTCGGCCCGGAACATGTTAATGTTGCAACAAACTACAGTAACTTAGCTTTGATTTACAAGGATTTAGGTGACTTTGAGCAAGCCAGGGAGTATCAGCAACGTGCTCTGGACATCCAACTGGACAAGCTCGGCCCGGAACATGTTAATGTTGCAACAAACTACAGTAACTTAGCTTTGATTTACAAGGATTTAGGTGACTTTGAGCAAGCCAAGGAGTATCAGCAACGTGCTCTGGACATCCAACTGGACAAGCTCGGCCCGGAACATGTTAATGTTGCAACAAACTACAGTAACTTAGCTTTGATTTACAAGGATTTAGGTGACTTTGAGCAAGCCAAGGAGTATCAGCAACGTGCTCTGGACATCCAACTGGACAAGCTCGGCCCGGAACATGTTAATGTTGCAACAAACTACAGTAACTTAGCTTTGATTTACAAGGATTTAGGTGACTTTGAGCAAGCCAAGGAGTATCTGCAACGTGCTCTTGACATTGAACTGGACAAGCTGGGCCCAGAACATGTTAATGTTGCAACAAACTACAGTAACTTAGCTTTGATTTGCAAGGATTTAGGTGACTTTGAGCAAGCCAAGGAGTATCAGCAACGTGCTCTGGACATTGAACTGGACAAGCTCGGCCCGGAACATGTTAATGTTGCAACAAACTACAGTAACTTAGCTTTGATTTACAAGGATGTAGGTGACTTTGAGCAAGCCAAGGAGTATCAGCAACGTGCTCTGGACATTAAACTGGACAAGCTCGGCCCGGAACATGTTAATGTTGCAACAAACTACAGTAACTTAGCTTTGATTTACAAGGATTTAGGTGACTTTGAGCAAGCCAAGGAGTATCAGCAACGTGCTCTGGACATCCAACTGGACAAGCTCGGCCCGGAACATGTTAATGTTGCAACAAACTACAGTAACTTAGCTTTGATTTACAAGGATGTAGGTGGCTTTGAGCAAGCCAAGGAGTATCAGCAACGTGCTCTGGACATCCAACTGGACAAGCTCGGCCCGGAACATGTTAATGTTGCAACAAACTACAGTAACTTAGCTTTGATTTACAAGGATTTAGGTGACTTTGAGCAAGCCAAGGAGTATCAGCAACGTGCTCTGGACATCCAACTGGACAAGCTCGGCCCGGAACATGTTAATGTTGCAACAAACTACAGTAACTTAGCTTTGATTTACAAGGATGTAGGTGACTTTGAGCAAGCCAAGGAGTATCAGCAACGTGCTCTGGACATTGAACTGGACAAGCTCGGCCCGGAACATGTTAATGTTGCAACAAACTACAGTAACTTAGCTTTGATTTACAAGGATTTAGGTGACTTTGAGCAAGCCAAGGAGTATCTGCAACGTGCTCTTGACATTAAACTGGACAAGCTCGGCCCGGAACATGTTAATGTTGCAACAAACTACAGTAACTTAGCTTTGATTTACAAGGATGTAGGTGACTTTGAGCAAGCCAAGGAGCATCGGCAACGTGCTCTGGCCATTAAAGCAGACAAGCACTGGCTCAACAAAACACCAAATGAGGTACATGAAGGACTGCTAACAGAAGCAAAAAACTTTATTATAAAAATTATATTTCTTCTAGATAGATTTTACGCAGTCTTTAAGGTTTATCGCGTTGGTGTTGTGTTAAAATTTAAAAGGCTGAATTTTGCAGGGTTTCTTATCACAGCAGCATAAGTTGCATTTTAAATTGCGAAGATCGCCTTTGCATTTTTTCTTCCGCAGTTCCAATATATGAAATTCATATAATCTTTATAAATGATTTTAAACTGATAAACTCCATAAAGTTTTACATATATTAACCATGGAATCGATATTTGGGACGTTTGTAAGACATCTCTTAATTCAGGTCTCACTGTAACAGTTTCTGTTTACACTCTATTCCTGCTTTCGGTATCTTCAAGTTTCTTCTAATGAAAAACAAACCTGTTAGTCCTTGCAGATTACTCATGAAGCTGAAAGGCATTTATCACAATCCAAGAAAGAAGATGATGACGATGAGGATGATGATAAAGGCAGTAGTAAGGACGGTAAAGCAAAATACATTGTTAAGTTAAAAATGTCTCCTTCTGCTAACTTTTTTTGATTTTACTCAATGGCGCGTTCCTTTAGAAAAAATCCAATAAGGTTTAATCGTTGCACAATCTTACAGTCTTTGCACTTGACGCGACAAAGGGGACGTGAGTAAAAATGCGTGGATGGATTCTTCAGAGTTCCAAAAATATTTGTGTGAAACCCCTACAATAACGAAGAATGCTCGACAGGTGTAACTGTTTTGGACCCATGCCCAAACAAACTCATTAATTGTGAATCTATAAATGCGGTTTTAGATATAATCTATCACCAAATCTATTGGGAGTTTGTTTTTAGCGGAGCTCCCGCGAGCGGAGCACCATGGGTAAGAAAATTTGGTAAACTATCCATCCGAGAAAATTTGGTTATGACGTAGAGTACGCCCACCCGTACACACACTTCATGTAAGCCGATGTTAAATGTCACAATAGATCTTGCACAACTTGACTAGCCTCTTAGTTATGTAAGCCATCCGTATGAGTACGATTAGATTGACAGCTGTCAAAATCAGACATCCGCTGACAATTATCACATGACCATCTCGCGGGCTCAGATAAAAGACAAGTCGTTTTGCCCCTATATATAAGCTGATATAATATGTCACACTTACCAATTCAACATAAAAACGAAACTACGCTGGGCAAGGCTGTCAGTTGACTGACAGTCGTTTAAAGTTACATTGGCAAGCCAAATTAAGGTCAATTGACAGCTGTCAAAATGGGACATGTGCAGACCACAATCAGAAAACTAGTAACGTGGGCTCAGGTTCTCTCAGGTACACGATCTGGAATTTTCCACTACATGCCGGACGGATATGTCCTACTCACACTCGTAGTCTGTTAATTCGAATATTCGCCATTCTAATGAAGGTTAATTGACAGCTGTCAAACTAGAGTATACGCTGACCATCATCACCTAAGTTGATCGCGGGCTCATTTTTCTATCCATTGAGGTCACGTAGTGTTTAAAGTTTTGCGCATATATTTTATTTGATCACAAGCTCAATTCGAAGCCCCATAGTTTTATAGAAAATCTGTTCATCCTAGAAAATTCGGTAATCACGTGACCGTACACCGACCACCCGACCTTCCGTCTGTCCGCACCACAGGCATACCAATGTTTCTGCTGACCAGTATCGCCTGACCGTATCAGGGGCTCAGGTATAGACCCTCTGAGTTCGAGTAATTTTTTGAAGGTATCCGTTGACAAGTTGCTACTTTTCAAATGATCGCAGGCTCAAGTTCAATTTTTTTAAAATGCATATGAAATAAGTAGTGTTCATGAGCCGCACTTTTAAAATTTTGATTTCGAACTGACGTCGGACACGAAAATTCAACCGGCTTTTACATTTACATGCAGGGAAGGCAATCGCTTTTGACTTTTCTCACTGTCACGTGTTCATCACGCTCTACTTCCAATTTTTATGTTCTGATTGGTCAAGGTGAGTTTATGGGGAAAATTTATGCAACGTCTGGAAACTTGCTTACTGATAGCTGGAGCTGACCGAGTTTTGTGTCATCTTGTGATGTTTTAAACTGTCTTTTTCTACTTGGTGTACAAAATGAAATATAGCTGCTATCAACATTGTTTGGTAATTCCTGGCTGGTTTGCTTATTGCGCTTTTTGTTGACAAATGCACCGTTTGTCAAAGTCACTGGAAATCCGATTTCGGATGGCATCGTTTTCAAAAATGAGCTTACTCACTTGCCCTTGCTTGAGGCGTAAGAGGGTTGAAAAGTCTCAAGCGATTCTGGAACACTTGATGACCTTCAGAAGCAGCATCTCGACCGGTAAGCCTGAGCAATTATTGTCTTTGATGTGTTTTTTTTTTCGGTTTCCTGAAGTCGAGCGTATGGTTTATGCGGCTTAAGTTTATACACGAGCAATGATCTAACCTACAATAGTATCAGGTTTAAAAAGCCTTTAGACACTTTTCGACCCGCAAATTCAAAGAAAAGGTTCCGAAGATTATTTAGTTATGATTTTGGCAGTAAACAGAAAGCTCTGAGCGATTTTCTTGCCGCGAGTTCATCTTGAAAAAGAGAAAACACCGGGAAGCCGGCTTAAAACATAAATAAGCTTATGCTTACCTGACTCATGATTTTCTGAGACACTTTACTCTCAATACTTCTCTTTGTGAATGAAAATTATTGTCTCTGTACATGTTTCACCGAATTAAATTTATTTTATTGATTGTCAGTAGTCCCTCTCGCAATTTTTATCGCTGCACCGTTTTTTTTTTTAATTTCCAGTCGAACATAAACATCGCATGCAAGAATACTCAAAACGCCGCGCGTAAATATCACTCGCTTTTAAAGATTACACATAAAAGAATCATGCACAGTTTAATGAATAAAGGGAAGTAAAACCTAAACATAACAATTTCTCTATCATGTTGAAGCGTGAATGGTAACTCTATTAATCGCACTGCAAATTTGGTGCCTGTCAAAAGTGAGAACCCATCCGGCTGGCCGAAAAGTGATTTTGGGAATTTTTTTTTATAGTTTTCATTAAAAGCCCATAATTATTACCCTGCATATCTAGGACCAGATTTTTCTAACTGAAAAGTCCCGGCATTATAGAATTCTTTTCATGAAAACGTTTTACAATTCAATGCTATAATTTGTTGTGCAAACGAACGGCGCGTGCTTTGATCGTCGTGGATATTGAATGAGTGCAAATTCTCTTGCCAAATTGTGAAAAACTGCAGAATTATAGGTTTAAATAGAGCAAAAAAAACAAATTCTGTCCGAGGTCTGTATGATAAAAAAAGGGCCTCATAGTACTGTTTACCTGAGACGTGATGAGAAAAAGTATGTTTAAAAGGCTGGTTTACACGCCACCAGATTCGTCGCCAAGATTTACTAGTAAACTAAACTTGTCGAACACAAAAAATCCGGCCTGATTTTTTTATTTTGGCCTCTCTTTTAGACAGAGGAATGCAACGTGTAAATTGGCTGCCACCAAGGACTATCGTGGCGCGTGTGTTTCTTAAAATTATAATTCGGGGCTATCCAATTATCCATAGTCTCTCTAACGGAGCAATGTTGGTGAGACTGGTGAATGCCACATTATGATGCAACAGCTAATGCAAATACAATACACCAATATATAGGTCTATTTGTTTTCCAGGCCTAATCTACTGTGATCGAACATGATTGCTATTTCTCGGTGTACAAATAAGACTATTTAATAACTCGATGTAAAATTTGTTTCACTCTTGGACGGTCAAATTCTGATTTTTCTCTAAAATCACTCAGCCTTTGCCTCAAAAGTCAAATTAATGTGCCCTGATCTGTGGATTACAATTGCAAGTTTATTGTTTGATTCAAATTATGAATTTATTAACGGGAGCTTCGCTTTTAGCTCTGGCTAAATCTATATATTAGTTTTAGTAAAGAAAGGCAAAATCCGCGTTTGGATGATTGTCTCAAAGGAAAGCGGCGTAGGTCAAAAGTCAGCTACATCCAAAAAGAAATTTTCAGGCAAACACAATTTCCGATTTGGGGCTGTTTATTCGGAGAAACTACAGATGGAGTTCAACACCGCGACTTATTAAAGCAATTTTCAGTTTTGCTAACCTCAAGATCCAAACATTGTTTGCCTCCTATGGCGTCAAGGAGGCTTTCAGCCCAAGCAAACCCAGTACCAAATATCTAGGTTAAATAAACGCGTTCAAAGCGAATTAGGGGTTTTACTGATCCCAGATACAATACATTAGGTGCGGTCACACTATGCTTTTCCCGCTAAGCTCCCACTGGGGAAATAGCTTGGGTTGGGGTCACACTGGGTAAGTGATCACTGTCATGGTTGCGGTTATACAGTTAAAAATTGCCCAAAGGGAAGAAAAAACGTGAACCGGGCAGTTTTGAGGTAAATGTTGTTGTAAACATTGAATCTCACATAATCGTATTAATAACACCCGCTCCACATTAATTAAACTTAGAAAGAGAGATTCAGTCTTAAATTTTGAGACTGAAAAGGACGACGTTGACTTCATTTTTTTTAAAAGAAAGACAAAAGTAAAGGTTTACAAAAGTGTTTGCAACGACTTCACAAGGAAATAATTCTTGAACGCATGTAAAGAAAACTGACGAGTGTTTTGAGTCGCTTTTAAATTTATGTGAAATTGTAAAGTACAGAAAAACATTCACAGAGGCACTCAAAATCCTGCTGAGGTTTCGCATTCCAGTTTGGCGCCAAGACGGACTCAGCAAGTAAACAACACGTGATTTCTACTTTTTGGTACGTTTCAATCTCTCGTGATTGGTTGAGCCGCCTTAGGTTCTTATTCACCAATAGAACTTACTTCGGGAACTGTCATGGGTAATTCTTTTGTTCTGATTGATGTATCCATGGAAATTTCCTCG